CTCAGTCTGCGTAAAAAATACAGCACTGAAAGCAGTGGGATAATGTATAATAGCATCAGTTGATCTGATTCCATTTTGACTCAGTGTGAATGTAAACATATTTAATGAGCATTTGGACTAAACCATCATGTAAAATCACTTACAGTCTCTCTATTTTAAGCTACTTTGTGCAACTAAGTAAACATAATAACTCTTTTAGCATGCCTCGATCAGTTCATTTAATTATGATTGAATTAATGTCATTACAATCAGCTGATTTAATATAAATTCACCTATTTTAATCCTGTGTATTAATCATAAAAGAAAGCTGATTGCAGTTTAAAACTATTAATATACTCTCAACAGTTACTGAGTATATATTGTTGTATGTCATTACATTTGGCTGCTGTGTGATATAGGTCGTCCTTCTCTGCACACATTTTTGAGTGAGGACAGCAGCTTGAAAGATCAGTTGATCTTGTTAACACACCTTGTAAAAGTACTAAACAGCAGCACAGGTGCTACCGACGTCACCTAACCATCTGTGTAACACAGCTTCAGACCGGATGAGAGGCAGTTGCTTATATATGATTCTGATTGGCTCACACTTCTGACTTATTACACTCAAAAACATCTAAAAGAAATCATCCTCATGTCATATTTTATTTAAAAAAAAGGTTTAGCACAGGATTTACAGATGAAACTTATCTGCCTGCCCGACTGCATCTCTGTTGTCCTGCTGCGATCAACAGCGCCACCTGAAGTCAGCTTGGGCACACAACCTATAAACACATCAGAGGCCTGCATAGTGAACACAGATCCATCACTTATTATGCTTGTGCTGGTGAAATTTAAAGTCCACCACCTGAGTATTACAAATCAATATCAGCTGTTATTGCTTTAAATTAAATGGAGAATTCTGCTCGACATTCAAACATTAAGAGTATAGTTTGTGTCCAGTTGATAGTTGTTGCTACTATTTGGTGGACAAAATAACAAAAACCTTACAATAGTCCTACATAAATATGAATTAGGTAAACTTTGATAAAGTTTGGTATTTGTTGAGACTGTTAGAGGTATTGATTTAACTAGAAAAAGTATATAGAATTTTCTGTTTTTAGGGTGTATCCTTGGCATGGTGGGAACTACAGCGAGGCTGATATGTCAGCTGATAGGTGACAATAAATTGCAGTATAGAATTAGCAAAGACATGTTTTAGAATATTTAGAAACAGTTTGTGTAAAACATGTAGCTGATACATTATCATCAGGTAAATATCAGTATTGGTAATTTTAGTAGTAGGAACTCCAGGCAAAGTAAACCTATGATGACAAATTTATGCATAAAGTGTTTTGGGTTGCAACTGATTTTTTTATTAATTCATTTGCTGATTAAGAAGAAAGTTTGTAGTGATATAAAACAGAAAAGCAGTA